TCTTCCGCTCAGGAAAAGCAAGCCACAGAAGCAGCGGGCTCCATGGGGAGCAGGACACCGCGAGGCAACGCCACCACCCGTCCCACTCCCAGTCTGACTGCCGAAACCCCAAAACATAATGATTCTCTTGGCCCAAAGGGGACGTTGACAAAGACAAAGGCTGCAAAAGTCCTCGCTGACGAGGCGGGAATAACCACCGGATCATGTCCCGACCGCCGTGTCTGTGCTCAGTCCGCCGGTGGCCCCTTCTGAAAGTCCCCCGCCACACTCCAGCCTGCCAGATACTTCTCCCCTTCCCGCATCCCAAGGCCTTCTGCAAGCTGGCCATGCCAAGGAGCCCTCCCCCCGAGTGCCCCAGGCGGCTGGAGGGGCGTTTCTGCAGAGCGGCCGCCATACCTCGGCTCCGATGCGTCCCTCCTTCCTTGGCCATCCGGTACTGGTTCAGCTCCTTGGCAAAGTCGTCATAGTCCTCCTTCCCCCCATCCTCATCCTCCTCTCCCTCGTATTCACAGTACCCCTCGTTCTCATAATCCTCGTACGGGGGGTAACTCTTGCTTTCCATCTTGGAATACCCCTTTTTCGGGCCGCTATGAGAAGAGGCGTACGGCTGGTGGGACTGAAGGCAGAAGCGTGAATGGTTAGGAAGGAAGGAAAGAAGGAAGGAAGGAAGGAAGGAACAAGCCCCGGACATCTGCCCTGCAACCCCACGCAGCCTAACGAGGCCGCCCCCTTCTCCTCCCCAGCCCCGCCCCCTTTCTGCACCACTGACAACAGTGGATGGGGAATCCCAAACAGCCAGGCCTCGGCTGGCAGCCTCCCTTCTTCTGGCATGGCCCGGCACCGCCAACCTAGGGGCACCTGCCTCCCGACAGGGACCACGTGATCCACAGCCCCAGCACAGCAGCCCCGGGCACCCCTGTGAGCCACAACGGCCTTCATTCCCCGCCACTGGCCAAGGCCACGACAACACCAGCCACTTACGGAGGAGTAGGGAGGGCTGTAGTCCCTATACTTCCGGTGCCCCTTCTCGCTGGGGCTGAAGTCCGAATCCTCACTGTAGTCGGAGAAGTCTTCACTGGAGGAGGCATGGCGCTGGGGGGGGGGGGGGAGGACACGGGCGTTACTGATCACCATAGATCCTCTTTAGTGACCCAGTTCTGGCTCCTCGGAGTTGCAAAGAATTCCCTGCCGAGGTGGAAATTTCATCCCTCTCGGCGCAGTATCCAATTACCCATTTCCTCAGCGGCCAAGAAGGCAGCTGCCAGCACTTGGTGCTTTCAAAAGTACCGAGCACAATTGGAAATGGGGTCCCTGGACCAAGAGCCTTCAGCGGCTTCTCTTATTTTACAAATCAGACACTCTGGTTTTCTACAGGCAAGTCTGGAAATCACCTGTTCCCTTCACCCAAAGGAAACAACACCTACTCCGTCTCTCCTGGTCACCCTCTGCTTTCTTCTTTTCCAGCCTTCTGCCGGCGTAAACGCTTTCACCTTTCCTCCCAGATGCACAACGCTGCAGTGACGCTTCAGGCAGAGCGCCCGACATATGCCCAGCCCCTCCCTCCCCCAGACTGGGGCCAGCCGGAGAGGAGAGGAGGGGCTTGACATCAATACACCCTAAGGCTCCTTAAGCCCACCTTGTGCCGGGACTTCCTTTTCTTCTTCGACCTCCGCTTCTCCTTCTCTCGCTCTTTCCGCCGCTTCCTCTTTCTCCGGTGAGGCTTCTCTTCATCCGAGTCGCTGTGATGCTTCTCGCTTTTCTCCTTCCGACTCTTCTCCCGCGACTCTGAGACACTGTGGGGCTCCTCGCCCCCATCGTCTTCCAGCTCCCCTTCTTCCAGCTCCCCATCCTCCCTGAAAAGACACAAGATCGGAACAAACTAAGAGATCTTTCAGAGCTGGAAACCGTGCTGAATACGAAATACCAGTGTTGGGACAGTCTGTTCAGCCCCCGGCTGCCCCCACCCTGCACGGGACACGCTCCAAAGAGAGCCCAGCTTGAGGCGACAAAGCATGTGCTCAAAGATGAGACACACACACACACACACACAAACACGCAAACAGGACTCCCCCAACAGGTTCTCATCTGTTTATGGCTGGAAAAATGGAAGTTCTCCCTGCTAAATAACACGTAAAAGACGGTACCGTTGACTTAAACGATCTTTTGGCTGCCTCTACACGTTGGTGAGTTTTACTGCAACCTCCCCCCCAGCCCACCTAACAGAGTAAGGTTCAAAGGGTCCCTAGAGGGCCCGCCTGGAGCTGCGGGGGCTGCACCACTTCACCTCCTGGCCCCAAGAAGGAAAATCTCCAAGTCCCAAGAAGGAAAACCATTTCCTGAGGGGGAAGCACTTTCCTCTTCCTTCAAAGCTAAAATATGGTTTTGCTACTGGTAACAAATAAGAAATGCGCTTCTCCACGTGTCTGGAGCATGTCGCAAACGGTAGTCTCAGGAAGCCCCATGATCACCCTCAAGCACAGACTGGCATTATTCCCCCTTCCCCTTTTAATTAGCCATTTACTGAAAAAAGGCGGAGCGTTCAGGCTCCGCACAAGGCTGGTCAATCTGCTGACGGGGGGGGGGGGGGGTGAGGTCGTCACCGCCGCAGGGTGGTTGTGTGGGGGGGGGGGGGGGGGGGGGGGGGGGGGGACGGTCTGCCAGAGCTCACATTCCAAATCCCTCTCTGCACTGGAAGCATTTCTCATTCAGACACAGTTTTCAGAGTGCACCTGCACCGTCCTGATGCCCAGCCCCCAGCAGGCATTTGCTTGGCACCCTCGCCCCTGGAAGGAAAGTGCGCCCACCTCCCCCGCTCTGGTTTGACTGCAAGGAATCTGACTGCACACACACACACACACACACACACACACCGGGCCTTCCTCTCTGCTTCCTGGGAGCCGCACACACTCAGCTGGGGAAATGCCAGGAGACTTCTCAGGGACCGCTTATCCCGTGAAGGCAGGAGATCCACGGGCCTCTTGCCACCTGATTCCTTCTTTTGCTGAGAGCTGAACTGCAGCTATGCTGACTGACCCTCCAGGCCACTTGTGGTTTTGCCGGTTAAACCAGTATCTTAACCGTCTACAACACCAAACCGGGGCAAACCACACAAGAGCAGTGCAGAATGGGGAAATCCTGGAGATTCTGAGGTCATGGGGCAAAACACACAACTTTGTCTGGCGGTGGGAAGGGAAAGACTATAGACATTGGGGGGGGGGGGAATAAAACAGATGTAGTTCTGATTTATTTTATTCACTATGCTGCAAGATGCAAGCAAACACAGACTGCTGCACTGTTTATGAACACCACAAACAAAGATGTTTTGGTTTTGTTCAGCCAAGAACTACAAACATACTCCCGTGTTCGAAATGGCGCCCCGGCCTTAAGTTATCTAAGAGTTAAAAGTGGAATCCGAAGGCACAGCAATAAACAAAGGAAGTTTTGACTACCTGCACCTCACAGCAGCTAGCATTATGCAGAACAAAGTGCACAAGCCTGCAGATCCTGCTCAGCTGAGGCAAGGCCTGGAGTCACGTGCCACCATCCCCCTTTCAAATGGCTTCCAACTCACTGAAAAAAGTAGTGCCTCCACTCGGCCTCAAGGGTCACGGTGCCAAGGGCTGCCACCGAATTGGAGCTAAAGTCTACAGCAAAACTAATTTTTCCATCGGTGCATCATCACTGACGCACAACTGCCACGATAACTGTGGGCAGAAGCAGGCACATGAAATGTGCGTTGTGTCAACACAGCCTTTGAAATGCCACCATCTCCAGTTTCTTTCTTTAACCAGAATCTGTTTCTGGAAGATCGATAGCTCCTGATCCAGAATTTCGGTTCTCAGGGTCTATGGAGAACTGAAGGTCTGCGTAGGTTAGAACCAACCATGAGTTTGTTTCTGGCCTTGGGGTGCTCATTTCCACAGACACAGCCCACTTTCCTTTTACACGGGGCAGGGTGAGGAAATCTACGTCAGGCACGGGGATCTGAGACGTCTACATGTCTGAAGCATACAAGGACTGAGTTTCCCAATACTGTGTAGACAGTCTTACACAGTCGAGTGCACATTTATCAGAAATTATTTCGGGGGAGTAAAAACCAGTACTTTAAAACCTCACCTTGAAAAGCTTAACATTCTAACAGGGACAACGTTCATAAGTGATCAAAAAAATCCCTCCCCCCAAAAAACAACAACAACAGGAGGGAGGGAGAAAAGAATGAATGCCCCCCCCCGGGCCATCACATCTCTCATGAAGGAGCCGGGTGCTGGTGGGAAAGGGTTCTGCTCCACCCGGGCACACTTGGCTTCTGCTCTGCCAAAGCAGCTCCACCCTCAGACAGAAGCACAGACAGGCACAGCAGGACACAACCTACAAAAGCCCAGCAGCCTTGGAAGACCGTTGTGTGCGTAATGGGGTGCCCAACAGTCAGGACTCAGGACTTGGCTCTGCGGTCCCCACACACTCACCTCCTGGGCACGCGGGTATCTGAAAGGGGGGGGGGGAGAACCCCTTCCGATCCTCCTGAAGCATTTCAAAGAAACTGCCTTAATCAGTCTAGACCAGGGGTGGCCAAACTGTGGCCCGGGAGCCACATGTGGCTCTTTCACACATATTCTGTGGCTCATGGCAGGGCAACTGGAGAAGCGAAGGGGAGGCATACGTTTCTCCTTCCCTCCGTCCCTCCCATATATTGGCTTTCTTTGTTTCTCCCTCTTTCTCTTTCTTTCCACCTCTTTCATTCTTTCTTTCAATCTCTCTCTCTCTCTCTCTTAGACAAATCAATATCATTAGCAAACAAATAGCATTATCAATATCTGTTTTTACCCCTTCTGTTTTTTATTTTTTGGCAGTCGTTTAACGTTAATCAAAAGCAAATTTGCATATTTCTACAAATAAAAATGCGTAATATCTGTTCCTGTCTTGTGGCTCTCAAACATCTGACCTTTATTCTGTGTGGCTCTTACATGACACACAAGGTTGGCCACCCCTGGGCTAGACTGTGACAATCCTCAAAGAACTCTGAGACCACCATGTCCACGGTTTCCAGAAGATCTTTTGGGAACACAGGAAGAACTACCAGCCACCTGCACTCTTGCCAGGACTAATCTCGAGGAGTACTCTGGAGAGCGCCGCTGGCATGCTTGCAGGGTGGCAGGAGCCCAAGGAACTAGACAGCGGGCGGGCGGGGGGGGGGGGGAGAAAGGGACGGGCAGCAGGTTACCCGCGTCTCTTGGCCCGCCCACCCCCACTGCACACACAGCCTGACCATCACGTGTGCAAAGGCACGGTGCTTTGGAGGACAACAGCGGCTCCCCCAGAGAGGTGTTTTGCTCCCTGGACACCAGTGCCTTCCTCCCCAAAGGGCACTCCAGGCAGCTTCTAGAGTCCAGGGCGTTTAAAGGAGATCAGGGTTCCCTGCCGTTCCACGGCAAGCTGTTTCCTGTTACTTGGGACACAGCATTTTGCCGATCTGCTGTCATCTGAGGGAAGCATCCTCAGCCACAGCTGTTTGCACATCAGGCAGGGAACAGGCTGCTGCGTAAGGAGGAGGGCCCGAGTGATTCACAAGGCTCCCGCCAGGCAAGTATGCAACAGTGAATTCTTCCTAAGCAGAACCAAATCTGGTCATGCAATTCACTGTCATACAATCTGTTCAAGTCCTGAAGAACATCTCAAGTGAAAAAGGACAGGTCATATCCCTACAGATGACCGTTTTAGGGGGGGGGGGGAGTTTGAACAGCTCAAAGCGTGTGAAGACAGGGAAGGTACGTGAAAGCTACTGAGTTCCAGAGTGACGGCATCTTGCCTCTGACACCCACAGTCCCCTCTGGCACCACGGTCTCTTTACCCAACACCTCCACCGGGGCGCAAACACAAGCTGTGAACCTGTACAATCTCTGGAGCGCTGCACAGTGTACAACATGCCTTGAGAGCTTCACTGTGGAAAGGCCCTGGAGATGGGCTATGCTGCCGCCTGACAGTCAAACTGAAAACATCAGGGTGATCTAAAACTCGGGGCACGGAAAGAAAAGAGGACGGATCAAGAGTGTGCGAAAAGTGATTAACCGGCAAGTCTGAAGAAAATTGTTATTACTGAGTGCTACAGGGCTCTGTCAACTTCATAGTACGGCCTGCCACGCGTGTTCCCTCTGGCTAGAGAGCAAAGCCGCGCAGTCGCCATGGGGCTTTCAGAGGGGAATGACGACGCTGGGAGGAAAGGCCCACCGCCAGCTTCTCAAGAGATCTGCCCCAGAAGGCAGCCCCCCCCCCCGTAGAATGCTGGGCTTCACGCAACACACTGCCTCACAGTCACACACCCCCGCCCCCGTGTGACTTCACAGAGCACCTTGGCAGAACCTCCTCCGTTGCAGCAGGACGGCAGGAGAGGCAGGAAGGCACAGAAGGTAACCAACCGAGAGCGAGCATAATGAGGAGGTGGCAGAGGGGAAGGCAGAGAGATTGTAAGCCCCCCCCCCACTCTGTGATGGAGTCAAAACAGCCCCCCCATGGAACACCAGCAAAAAAAAAAAAAAAAGCAGGACGTGCTCCTCCTCGTGGTTCCGCCTTCAGAAAAAGGGAGCCCCTTGTTTAACGGCAGCGCCCAAGAGCTCTGGGGAGAACGCGCTCCCCTCTTCCTACGTGGTGCCTCAAACTTGACAAGCGGGGCAGGCCCTTTGACGTCAACCGTCACAATGGAAGTCTCTGCTGACCCCTGACGGTGGTGGAAGGAAACATCCAGGGAACGCCACACGAATCTGAACTATTCACAACTGGGCGAGAGAAGTGGAGCAGCCCAGTGCCTCCCCCTTGGAGACGGGCCAACGGCGGCAGCATCAACACACACACACACACACATTGCAGAAGAGGAGGAGGAGGAGGAGGAAGAGACTGGATTCATACCCCACGCCCTGGGAGGCAGGTGGGGCTGAGAGAGCTCTGACAGAAACTGCTGTTTTTCAAGAACAGCTCTTGTCAGAACTACGGCTTGCCCAAGGTCACGCCAGCCAGGTGCGAGTGGAGGAGGAGTGGGGAATCAGACCCGGTTCTCCCAGATTAGAGTCCTCGCGCTTAACCACCACACCAAACTGGTACAGGCTGCCGGCCTGTAAAATGGGGGGTGTCCTAGGGAGCCCTGAGATCTCCTCCCCAGGCCCACAGCTCTCTGGGGCAGAGAATACACAACTGTTACGACCTAATGGATGAAGAAAAACTGCCAAGACGTGAAAGCAATACTGGCTCACTGCAGTGGGGAGCTGGGTGCTGGATTTGCTAGGGAACCAGCTGTACTAGGGAACCCGCATGTCGGGTTGGTAAAGCTGCTAGCTGACAAAGAGGTCAACAAACAACCAAGATGCTTGAATGCTGGAAAGCCTTCTCCTGAAGACAGACAGTCCTTGCAAGACGTCGCTCAGCTCCCAGGGGAGGCACCGGATCTCTCCCACGGGGGACCCTGCAGTCCCAGGCATGCTGAACTTCGGAAGGCCGCTGACTCCTGAAGCAAGCCCACACAGGGCTGGGCCAGAAACTCTCGTCTGTGAACCTGGCATTATTCCCTTCCTTAGCAGGCGTGAGGAGAAGACCTTTTACAGAGCTTTCCACACGTACAGGGTCACATCACGAGCGGTCCTCATGTCTGCCCTTCCTCTCCATGAGGAGGAGACATCTGGATTTTCAAGAGACCAAAACAAGCCTTCCTCCCCCTCCCCACAAAGTTCCCCAAGCAGCCTACCCCACAGGTTTTATTTGGGAAGACCTGCTACAGTTGCTGGAACACCTTCACAGCCCCAATTCTGCTCCAAACCCAAAATTCAACACACCTATGGCCCGCAATGTTCCCTCTAAGCTATGGAGTCTTGTGAGCAAAAATTACACTTTGTGAGCGACTGGCATCAAAGTTGTGAGCGAGCGACTTGGCTATAGCATAAATTAGGTTACTCTGGAGCTCTCCTTCATGAGCTAAGACAAAAATGTGTGAGCCAGAGGCTAAAAAACTGTGAGCTAGCTCACACTCAGCTTAGAGGGAACACTGCCTATGGGGTGATAGTAAACTGGAGTACAAATAGAAGGCGGCACAGTCCGCGGGACACAAAGCCCCTCACAATTCAATTACTTTCTCCTACTTAGAACATACGAAGAGACCTCCTGGGTCAGATCTGTATAAAGGTAAAGGTTTCCCTTGCTCGAAAGCCAGTCGAATCCGACTCTAGGGTTGCGGTGCTCATCTCCGTTTCCAAGCCAAAGAGCCAGCGCTGTCCGAAGATGTTTCCGTGGTCATGTGGCCGGCATGACTGGACGCCAAGGGGCACGGAACGCTGTCACCTTCCCACCGAAGCGGTACCTATTTGTCTACTTGCAATTTCTTGCTTTCGAACTGCTAGGTTGGCAGGAGCTGGGACCAGAGACGGGAGCTCACTCTGTCATGCGGCACACTCGGGTCTCGAACTACTGAACTACCGACAAGTCCAGCATCCCATTCCACACACGCAGGGGCTGACCTGCCACCCTGGAAGGCCAACAAGGAGGGCTCACAGGCCAAGGCCTCCCCACTGACGCTACCTCCTAGCAGTGGGTTCCTGGACATGGAGGTTCCCTTCACTCACCAAGGCCAGCAGCTACTGAGGGGCCTCCCCTCTATCAATCTCTCCAACCCCCTTTTGCTCTGCGGGTCACCCAGAGTGGGTTCACCAGGGGACAACCCTCAGCAACCACACAAGAGTCTGGGGGTACACACTCCATTTCCAGTCACCTTCAAACGTACACATCTACTGCCTCACTGACTGGGATACGGCTATCTTACGCAAACCAGTACTTTAAACGGATCCATCCAAGGCACTGGACTACCTTTCCACAAGGGACTGAATATCTGATCAAGCGCTCTAAGGGATGTCCGTAAATTGCCGGCTACCGAAGTAATGGGAGTCCTTCCCAAGCCATCCTGAAGGCCACGGTGCTGACTCAGGATATTCCAAGTCTCGACGGCACTTACCCAAGAATGCCCTATGCCAGAGTCAATGGGGGACGGGGGACGCTCAGCAGCTGGGGAGGAGCCGGGGAATTCGGCAGGTGCCCCTGCCAGAGCCACAGGGCTGGGGGGGGGGGAGCCCTGCCTGCCTGCCTGCTGCCACCTCCTCCTCTTCTGCAAAACTAACTCAGGCACAAGAGGATCTTCAGGCTCTCTCGGGATCCTGATTTTAGACATTCCTCAGTTCGCACCCAGCAGGACTGCTCTGACAAAGGCCCGAGGAGGCCTGGGATACAAAGGGCCCTGTACTCTCCAAGCGGCTCACCCTCTTTTGTGAAACATTAAACGAGTTCTATACATCACCACGTCTTCTTCCCTTCCAACTTCCCAGCCTCATTTTGTCACGAAGCCCTGGAAACAAAAGGGCGCTCCAAGCTTGCTGGGCTGCCCAGGAGGCCTAGATCGTAATGTCAGCAGACCTCGCCGCCGGGCCCTCGCCCGATTTACAGAGGGGCGATAGGATTACCAAAACAATGCCTGTCAAAGTGCTCTGAGCAGAGAGGAATGACTGATTATTTGAAGGAATCTGGGATGATCGAGTCAGGGCTGCAAGAGGGGATTCTACACCCGAACGAAGGACGCGAAGTGCACCTCTGCTCAAAACAGGAGCGCAAACTATCCGGGGCTCTTGCGCCTTGGGTCAGGGCAACCGGCAGAAGAAGCCGGGGGGAGGGCGGGCACATTTTCAACTTGTGGTCTGCCGTGGCTACAAACATCTCGGCCAGATGTCTAAGCGCCGATCCTGGCCGCCAGAGCTGCACACTCTGGGCTGAACGGACCTTCCCCGCTGCAGTCAAACCACACAGCAAGAGGCTTGGGCAAGTAAGAGAAAAGTTCCTGACATAAACAACGCATAGGAGTAAAAGCGCCTGTAACCTCTGGGAAAGTTCATTCTTCCTCAAGCTTCCGAAAAGCCTGGTTACTAAGTATACTTTTGACACCCCTGTATAGAAATCTGCCTTTTCCTCCCACGGAGAGCAGCTGGTAAATTGCTTCCCTTGCTGGGTCAATCAGTCTTTCTAGCCTATGTATACGTTTGTGTTTTGGGAGTCCAAGGGAAGCCCCAAGAGAGGAATCCAAGCCAGCATTATTTCACATCAATGAACTCGTCGTGGCCTTCATAAGCCATTTTTTCTTCTTTGTTTTAAAGCGCAGGTAGACTAAAAATCCCGCACTGGGGAACAAAGCATACACCCTTCTTGCTCATGGAGGAGAGGAATTGAGTGGGCTTGGGAACTGTCACACTGGGGGGGGGGGGGGCGCAAAGCGACACACACTGTACACCACAAGAGAGGTTTCTCCACTGGGCGTCTGTTATCTTATGTGAGGAAGAGGCAGAAACGTTTCACAGCACATGTGGTTAGCCAAGGGACAGTGGAGAACGGGGCGGAAGCAGGCCGCGACTCAGGTGCTTACACTGTACAGGACCGCTGCTGACCAAGGAATGGCGGGAAAGTGTGTGGAGAGAACTGGGGGCGTGGGGGGGGGGGCACTGTGATTTTTCCCACTTTGGAACTGCTTAACGTTTGTGGAAGACAACTTTCTGTGGTTTATCTGGCCGAGCCTGCCCCCCCACCCCCACCCCCTGTGCAGCGGCAGGGTGTCCATGTTCCACGTTAATGGGATTGATACACAAATCAGGATGAAGATGGGGGAGTTTGCAGACAAGGCCACTGAATCCACTACCTGACGAATGCTCTAGGCAGACTACTTTTCTGCTTTTTGGAAAACATTCTTGCTTTTTTAAAAAAAGGGGGTGGGGGTTTTTTGCGTGCTTTGGTGAGTACTTTCCTAAGCGGATGCCAAGGCGTGGACTTAGACCAGGTCCAGAGGAGGAGGCTTGGGGGGAGGAGACGAATGCTCTAGGCAGACTACTTTTCTGCTTTTTGGAAAACATTCTTGCTTTTTTAAAAAAAGGGGGTGGGGGTTTTTTGCGTGCTTTGGTGAGTACTTTCCTAAGCGGATGCCAAGGCGTGGACTTA